AGACTATTCTTGGCAAGGGGAAACACTTACTGAGAATGGCAGTGAAAATCTCACCATGTCACAGGTAAGAAAAAAAATGTGACGTTTATCAGCAAGCAAGTATTCACATCCCTAGGCAAAAAGAAGGAAATGGAAGATAGCCGTGCCACAGATGAGCAAGTAGATACTGCACCAACTCGACATCACCCACACGCATTGTACCCTGAAGGGAAGTGGGGATCCTGGGTTGCTATTCCCCTGCGCCTTGTGACACAGCTAGGCAAAAAAGGCCATGGGAAAACATAGCAGCAGCATATGGGCTCAGAAATGAATGGGCATCATTTTACACACTTATCGATGTAGGGTACACATAGCTAGCCCTCCAGTCGACCTACTTCCTTTTCATACAATGAGCAGCAGCCTGAGCCCCTGGCACCTGCGGCTGACTGGGCATCTTGTTTTGTCATTGTGGTTCCTTAGTTTAAGGGAGTGGCGAGGAGCCCAGGGAGTGGAAAGATCTCATGCAACAAACCTTTCCAAGCCAAACTAAGCCTGGAGGAAAGACATTTCTCTCTCTATGTTACACAGCCAAGAAGTGATGCTCTCCTATTTCTAGACAGTTGAAAATTACAGGAGCAGTATCACAATTTTTTAGCTTCTGGATGGAACAGCACTAACTGCCTTGGCAATAGCTGTTTAGCAGAACACAGCAGAGTCAAACAGATACCCCGACAGAAAATAGCAGTCCCTTAGTAAGTCGGCTTGTACAGCTACACTCTTGTGTTAGAGAACTCCTGAGCATGAATCAACAGCAATGGTTTTACATGGAATTAGCCAACTGACTCAGTTCTTTGAGTAACAACAGGATGGTAACAGTTTAAATCTAGTTTAAACAATTAAGCTGCTTAAAAATTTCTAGGAAGTTAAACTAGTTTCAATCTGAATTGGAACTTAAACTATTTTATGTCACCGTGTCACACCAAAGGAAGGTCTGAAAAGCAGCAAAGTTCTCCCTATTGCAGTTGCTCTTGCTACAATCTCTTTCTGCCATCATTTTCCTGGTCTTGCAGGCTTGATCTCACAACTTGGGTACGATATGGGATTGTCTGATCCCTTCCTCTCCCACACAAAGGCTCTCTTCCTTCTGTTCAAGAACAGGTTGTGTACAGTGCACCTTCAGAAGCTGTCATGCTCCAATTTGGGGGATTAAAGTGCAGGATTTCCCCCCTCATTTTTAAAATTGCATCCTTGCAGATGAAGCAGAGGTTAAAGCCGTTTTCAGCACAATCCTTTATATGTCTGCTCAGTATGGATCAATCACAGTGGGAATCTGTGACCCTCTGGACAGTCCATCTATCACCACCAATCAGTGCAGCCAATGGTCAGGGATGACAGAGATCATAGTCCAACAATATCTTAAGCATCACAGATTCCCTATCCCTATTTGAGACTACTGTATTTCCTATGGAATAAACACAAAAACAAAAAAATTATTGTGAGAAATTGTAGAAGCTGGGGCCACCTATAGTATATAGACTAAGCCATAGCAATCGTACATTCACATCGATATACCCATGAGAATATTGCCCAATAAATGCAAATAGTTGCTTTGAAAATAGGTCTTAGTTTAAGATGCCATTCAAGAGTCTTGGCTATTAGGCTAAGCTTCATTTTTCCCTGGCAGGCTGTTTGCACTTAGATGGAGCTCCCCAAAGTAGCATCTTCTTGAGAATATTATCTTCTCACACGTAAACTGATATGCAAACATGCCATAATGTTCCCAGCCAAATTAAAATTGAGCAGTCAGCCTAAATCTATTTGTTGTGTACATATAAAATTGTGCTGCTACTTCTTACAATGGTATTTAAAGGAGTGAATCAGCTGTGACATAAAAGGCGAAAGAACACACATCCTGCCACAAAAGTTATGGTTCCAGGTTTTCCCCCCAGCATATTTTGCAACAAAAACGGAAGAGAAACATATTTAGCTGCTATGAGGCTAAAATTACAGAGGGACATGCCTTTGAGGTGTTGATCTCTTGTGGAAGATGTTGGTGCTTTACTAATTAGAGTTCACTCTCTATCAAGCCATTACCCTAAAGATGTTCCGTGACAGAAACTGACTTGTATCAGTAAATCAAGTGGAAGAGCTAACTTAAAACAGACCATGAATAAAATGGAACCATTTTTTTACATGTTCCATTTGTGAATCTCTCTGGCCTTTCTGTTTTGTCCACAATAAAAGATCTTTCTGACAGCCTTGAAATACTATGCATGGAAGAGTTTTCTGAGTACATGCTGCTTTTATTACACGGTTAGCAGCCACATTAGGAACTTACTGATCTTTGGCATGAAAGGGAGATTTTTGTTTTAAAAATCATTTGTAGTACCAGTTTGTCAGGATCATGAATGAGGAGGAAACAATTAAATGTTCCCTCATCATGCACTGAAGTCCTGAGGAAAATCATCCTCTGCTCACTGAATATTAAACTGGGAAGAATGAGAAGATGCTAATTTAGGGAAACACCATCTAAATGGAAATCACCCACTAGGGAGAACACGACTCAATACGCTTGCTGATTCTACAATAAAAGTAACATTGAGCTTAGGCCAGGCTCACCATTTTTTCCAACATAGCTGATCTCTTAATATCTATACAATGTGATCAAAAACCACATTTTGTTGTGATATGCCTTAAACAGTGATGAAAAACTTGCTTATGATGACATGTGCTCCCAAATTATTTTCCAAAAAAGGATAAGGGAGGTACTGTAGTACTTTTGAGACTAACAAATTCATTCAGAGTGAGCTTTATTGACTGTAACCAATTTCTCAGACATATCAGTTATGTCTTTCATCTAATCCAAAAAACTGACACTGAAATGGATGCCTCTTAATCAGGTATTTGGTTTTTGTTTAATCTCCAGTTTTCACTGCAGGAAACCAAGATGACTATTTCTCTGAAACTGATTCTCCACATCCTAAGAGCCTTGTGGCACAGTGGTTCAAACGCTGTACTGCAGTTAAAACTGTGCTCACGACCTGGGGTTCAAATCCCAGGTAGCCGGCTCAAGGTTGGCTCAGCCTTCCATCCTTCCGAGGTCGGTAAAATGAGTACCCAGCTTGCTGGGGGGGCAATGTGTAGCCTGTATAATTAAAAAATTGTAAACCACCCGGAGAGTGCTTGTAGCGCTATGGGGCGGTACATAAGTCCAATAAATAAATATAGAGCAGTGGTCCCCAACCTTGGGCTTCCAGATGTTCTTGGACTTCAACTCCCAGAAATCCTGGCCAGCAGAGATGATGGTGAAGGTTTCTGGGAGCTGTAGTCTAAGAACATCTGGAGGCCCAAGGTTGGGGACCACTGCTATAGAGGGCATACTGCAAAACTGCGCAAAATTATAGTGCTTGTTGCTTTTCGGCATACTGTAGTTTTTAAAGATTAGAATCAGCAGATGTAATCCGCCGCTTTTTAAAACTATCAATCAGTTGTTCTGTGCTTTCCATGCCTATGGGTGGTTTGCTTCTCAAAGGGAAAGGTCACTAGGTTTGCACACAGAGACACTTTGTGCAAAACTATGGAAGTTCTGATGAAAAAAAAAACTTTCCTTGTCTCATTTCCACAGTGGAAGTGACAAGTCTTTCAGGGATTGAAAATTCCTCATCAAGATGTATCATTGTGCCTGAATCAATGATAAAGAGAATCAAGGAAGCCTCACATTCCTAAGCCCAAATAATAGGCTTGGATTCCAATTTTTTTTATAACTAAAAAAAACCCACTTGGCTCTAATATGATTATTCACATCACTGAGACAGTATTAAAAACCATTAAAATACTAAAGCAGAAAGCAAATGTGGGAGGCCCCAGGGTTCAGTCTTAGAGCATATGCTTGGCACACCTCAGTTCCCCAGGCATCTCTGGTTGAAGGCATCTCACAGGTGAGTACGTTGGCAAGGACTAAAGCCCTGGGGGATTGTACAGCTAGGCTCTAAGCAGAGCAGTTATCCTACTCAACATATGGCAATGTGTGGCAGCTGCATGTGTTTATCAAATCTTGATCCAAATATTCATAAGATGGACAGTGCAATTCTGTAGGGTGGAGAGAGAACCCCAGGCATGAGAGCCACCACTTCCCAAGCTTTGCCGGGTTTGTGCTCGCCAGAAAAGAAGGTAGGGTGGCAGATTCTCCCTCTCTTTCTACTGGTATGAAATTTCCTGTTCTTATCCTTTCCACTGGTTTCAGTGCTAGGGGAAATAACACCACCCATTTGAAACTGGAATTATTTCCTCCTCATTTCAGGGATGTGTCTGAAGAAGAATCAAGTGGATCCAAATCCTCTTCTAATCACCTCCTGACTTGCCCTCAGAATTCCCCCCCTTTTTTTAGCAAACACCACCAGCAAGGCAACCAGAGCAATGGAAGGATCTATTGAACAGGAAGATCCTAGGGCAAACAATAGGGTTTGGGGGTGTTTTCTGTGGGACCAAAGAACAGTACAGAAAGCATTTTTGCTTGGCTGTTGTTGTTGTTGTTGTTGTTGTTGTTGTTGTTGTCGTCGTCGTCGTCGTCAGCATCATCATCATCATCATCAATCAATGTTTAGTTTTCCATCTAGTCAGCACAATGGACAAATACATAAATATGCCTTTTGAATAAAATGAAGATTGTAATCAATTTTGCTCGCCATTTTTGTGCAGAAGAAGGTTCAGGAGTAAGAGGTATTTAACAATGTTCCTTTAGAACTCCAGTTCTTCAAAGAATTACTGATAACATCTCCTAATGCAGTTTAATTGTTTATCACATCCCTCCATATTTCCTAAGTTGCACTTGCAATATTTTCCTACACAGTGGAAACACCCAAACAATTTGAAAAGCACTACTTTAACTAAATAAAGATAAGTTCTCTCATTTTCCCCCACCCCCAATATTTGTTCTCTACTGTGTACTTTCAGTAGAACATAAGGGATTTTTATAGAATAACAATGCAGCAAATGTTGCAACCTCTTTTAAAATGCAATACCTTAGCTTCTTCGGTATTTTCTGCTACCATGTAAGTGAAGTTGAGATTCACTAAATCTGTACCACTACAGACACATACTATACGTCCTTCCAGTTCATTTTCTGCTTTGCCAACAGCTTCAAGAGCACTTAAGATTTTTGGATCCTGTAAAGAAACAGTGAGTGCCTTGTTAGACATCTGAGGCTAAACACAAAAATAATTCTTCATTTTGTTTTTCAGATATTTGACCTGTAAACATTTTTTCTTTGCCTCTATTTCTTCTTATTGTCAGCATTTCAAGTACAACTATAAAATCTTGATTTCATAATCACCTGTTGAATAACACTGCTGAAATATGAAAGCAGATCTGAGTGTTTCAAACAGATGTCTTATTCATAAGATAGAAGCCTTTACATGCCAGAAAATTAGTAATATTTTATTAACATTCGGACTTTAGGAGAAGTGCAGACATCAACAATGATTCTAGTGTTATCTCTGCACCTGTCTCATGTAGGTGAGATATTCCAAAGTTTGCAGCTTCTGTACTTTACTTAATCATCCCTTTGGCATCACACAGTCCCTCTCCTGGTAGTGTTAATTTTCACTGCCATCAGTTTTTCCATATCCATAAGATAATTCTCAGACCTACAATAACCATAATCTTAACATAGCAGGGATAACATCACAGGTCCACAGAAATCCATGAAGACCAAAATACATTTTCAGAGGTTAGAGTTTTACTGCGAACAACGGAACCAAAACACTTCAAGAGTTTGGAAGAGCTATTTTCTTTGGGACTACAGTTAGCCACACTCATTGTGGGATTCCAGGGGCTTATAGTCCAAAAAGTAACTTCATCAAATTTGCATGACCTTTTCATGCTATTTTCTGAGCCATACAAAAGCTACCCAAGAAGAATTAACAGAGATTATCAGTTTAAGAAACAGACCTTTATCTTGCTGCCTCTGAAGACTAGATATAAACCACAACAGAAGGAATAACTAAACTGGAGGAAAATTGCATAGACTCTATCACTTTATTTTGCGATACAGTTTACAGCTTCCAGTTTAAGAAAGCTCTTCATCACCAAGCAGCCTAGCAAATATGTACCTCCCCTTGCTTCACTGCTCTCACATGATTACACAAGGAAACAGCATTCTGGGTATTTCTTCATCTGTGTCAGAAACAATCCACTGATGTTTCCGTAGTGGAAGGAGCAGCTGACAGGGTTCTGTTGTTGCCCAGGGGACGACCAAAAGTTTTCACAATCCTCCCATTCTTTACAATTGCAATCTCTGTCCCCCCCCCCCATTTTGAGTGCTGAATGAGTAAGACTCATGTCTGTATTGTCTTACCAAAGTTCCATTGACTTAATGGGTCTGTTCGAGTTGGGAGTAGCAATTTGTTTAAATTGGCTGCACGTATAATTTACACTTTGAGCACAATCTCACCAAGAGAAAGTAACTTTTAGTCTCATCTATTTAAATCATGAAACATAAGCAAGTATTTCACACTCTGCCACTGGAATTTTTAAATAACTTTCAAAAGCCTAATTATAGCTGGACTACATTGTCTGAATACAGATTTCTTTCTTTCTTTCTTTCTTTCTTTCTTTCTTTATACAGATTTCTTTCTTTCTTTCTTTCTTTCTTTCTTTCTTTCTTTCTTTCTTTCTTTCTTTCTGTTTGAAAAGCTGATTTGTGGTGCAATTCCTTCGTCCCCAAGGAGGCCTAGTTTTCAACACTTTTCAACATTTGCAGGTAACACCCTTACAAAGGAAGTTTCATGACCGGTCCTCAAATTGTCACTTATTGTATAAAACAATGCTATAAAATAGAATTACAGAAATACCTTTGGTGCTGTGCCAAAACGGATACTGTTGATTAAGGAGCATTCTAAAACTTGGCCTTCCTGGAACAAGAAAGGGAACAGCATTAAGTGCCAAGGTTTGATGTAACCCAAAACATACTGAAATAGGAAATAGCAAATTAGACATGAGCAGAATTCATGATTACAGTTACCTAGATCTATTTTCTACCAGTTTGGGTTTACTCAAGGTGGGGATCATGTGGTGCTCCAGTGGCTGTTGGATGTGTGACTATCATCAACTGCAGCCAGAGCAGCCAATGTTCAAACATAATGGGAGATGAGCCTTGGAACAACTGGGGAGTCACACAGGCTTTGCCCTCACTGAAAGCTTCTAAACCTGTGATCCCACTGCTCCTAAAAGGGGCAGAGAACCTGGTGTCCCACCAATGTTTAAGGCTACAACTCCCATCACCAATTACTACTAATTCTACTGGCTGGGGCTAATGGGAACTGTTGCTCCAAACATCAAGAAGACTCCAACTCACTAGATTCAGGTCCCTCCCTCCCCATCTGCGATTCACATCAAGTGAAGAGACAGAGTAAAATGAATGCTATACCAGAACTACATCCTGAGTGAAGGTCACAAAGGAACAAAGAAGGGTAGTTGCTATGCACCCAGAAAAGCCATCAACACAGAGTGGCTGGAGAGAGGCAGACAGAGCCAACCTCCGGAGGATCACATATTACTAGAGATGGGGGTATTTGTATACGAATACAAAAATCCCCCCACAGGTAGAGATAACGAGGGTCTAGCCCCATGGGGCCAGATGGTTCACTCATGATTCCAATAGATTAGCCAGTCCTGGTGGAAGGCTGGATGACGAGTCTCTCTGCTAGGTTGCAGAGTTGCTAATCCATGGCGAGCAATGAAGCGATAGGAAGGCTCTGTCGCGCTTGTGGCAGTGGTAGATTCGTGAGTGGTCCATCCTCCCCCATGGGGCCAGATCCTTGTTATTTCTAGGAAGGCTCTGTCGAGCTTGTGGCAGTGGCAGATTCGTGAGTGGTCCATTCTCCCCCATGGGGCCAGACCCTTGTTATTTCCACCTGTGGGGGGCTAGTCATAATTGTATATTTGTACATACTACTAACATCTTACATCTAGTATATACAGTATTATATCTAGTATAACATTACATCAAGTCAAAGGGCAGTTATATGATTTCAAACATCTACACCCCAATATGTAACTCAGTGGACACTATTCTGATCAACAAATCCACCCCATCAGTACATCCACACTTGTAGAACTGGAGGGTGAAACATTTCTTAGAAACAGTTATAACCTCGAAATTATTGTAAATTTTACCTTTCCTTCACTCTTCCATGTTAGAAAAAAGCCAAATTCATCCACTTTAAAGAGACAGCTTGGTTCAAAGACAGAAGATTCCTGTTGGAAGAAAATGAATCAAGTTTTCACATGCCAAGGAATACTTTCTAAAAGTGTACAGTGGACCCTCAACTTACAGACGGCTCAACTTACAGACTTTTCGAGTTACAGACTTCTCTGGCTGCAAAATTTAGATTCGACTTGCAGCCAGAGAATCGACTTACAGACCAGCAAAAAACCAAAATGGAATAAAAATAGAATAAAAACCACTGGTTATGGGATTAATCGGTTTTCAGTGCATTGTAGGTCAATGGAGATTCGACTTACAGACTTTTCGACTTGCAGCCACCATTCCAATACGGATTAATTCCTTAAGTAGAGGGTCCACTGTATAGGGTACCTGCCAATTTCCCCTCAGTAATTCTAAGACAAAATATTTTATCTCATATATGGATCTCATAGCCAACCACCAGTCCCAACTCAAGCAGACCCATTGAGTCAATGCAATTCACATAAGTGTTGAGGTACTATTTAACAACAGATGCAACAGGTCTACTCTTAGTTGACAGGAGCGATAGGATACTGGGCCCTACATCCAAAGAAGCATGTTAAACATACAAAGACCTAAAATAAAAATCTAACAGCAGGAGTTGCTTTCTTAGAGTCACAAGAATCAAGTCTAACGTGTGTGCCCCACTTTTTCTGCTACAGTACATTAGAACCAATAGTCAGACTATCCAAATGTCTACAACCATTCCTCAAATCACAGGACCAGTTCAAGAGTTTTTATTGCCTGAGGCAGAGCAGCAAATAATGCCCAACAAGCCAGGACAAAGGTAGTTAAATTATTTTGGCATATGAGAGAGAAATTTTCCATGAACAACTCCTCCATATCTTTACAGTCAAAATAAAAACAATGGAACAAATAACTACAAATGTGTTGCCTTTTCTTGATGCCCCAAATCTACCACCTGAAGGCAGGGTTGGCCCCACTAAAAGGCAAGTAAGACAGGTAGGTGTTACAGAGCAGGCTTGAGATGACTGCAGGTAAGTAATAGGACAATTCTACCTTCTCATAACCCCCACAGTGTCCTCTTGGCATTTCTCTACCCTATAAAACAAGGATGGAAACTTGTAGCGCTCCAAATTTTGTCGGGCGTTCACACCCAACAAGCTGACACCACCGGCGGAGATCTATATGCCATGCAGGAAGGAATCAGACACAAACACTTAATGAAACCTTCAGTTTCAGGGAAAATACGTCTCTGAGTACCAGCTCCTTGAGGACAAAAGAACAGACAACGAAAGAAAGGCTATGGCTGGCATGCTGTGCTTGGGAGTACCCCTGAAGCCATTGGCAGGCCTTAATGTTCCAAGATTAAAGAAACAGGCTACAGAAAGGCATTATACTTGAGGGAAGCAGTGCTGAATTATCGTCTTGCATTAGAACAGCTCACTTTTTAGCTGCAGAAGCTGCTGCTAGCTCCATTTCAAATCATGTAGACAAAGTTAATAGACTGGTGTACTGGTTTTTCTTTTCCTAGTTAATTTCAAAAGTTAATTTTTAAGGTCATTTTGTGGCATTTTAGAGGCATTCTGGCAGGAATGTTTCATGTTTTCTCCCCTTTTTCTATCAATCGTACCCATCACCCCCCAAGAGGAACAGACAGTAACAAAAAAAATTAATGAGCAGCACAACTAGTCCTGTAACAACCTTTTGATTATAGAATGAGTAATTGGTTACTTTTCAAATACTTTAATAAGAAACATGAACAAATTCATTTTATAATGTAGCTTTCAAAACCCGGTCCTATGTTGCTCACGCCTGGCTTGCTATTTTCCCACAGGCATCCAGTTGGTCAAAGTGCAAACAGAAGACTGGATGAAATAGGACTTTGGTTTGACCTAGCAGAGACTTCCTTCATCTTTCCCTAAGAGGAGGGAGAGAAGGCAGAGCAGGGATGCCGATAGGTAGGCCCAGATCACATCTTCCTTGTTATAAAACTGGAGTGGTGGTTGTAAACAGTCTGCAAAAAGGAGGGAAAATGGGATTCTATTATACACTGTGGAGACAATGCACTATGGAGACGAAGAAGGTCCTCAACAGATGGGAAACCTTGACATCTGAGCATTCAGACTGGAGGCAGGTGGTGCATCATGGCCTCTCCCATTTTGAAGAGACCCTTATCCAGCAGGCAGAGGGAAAGAGGCAGTCCCGAAACCAGCCAAGTCAGGGAGCTGGACAGGGGACAGACTGTATTTGTCTTCAGTGTGGAAGGGATTGTCACTCTCGAATTGGCCTTCTCAGATGCTGTTCCAAGTCCTCCATTCAGAGCATGTTACCATAGTCTCTCGAGACTGAAGGATGCCTAATCTAAATGAGACAACATCATCCATAGGTACTGCACACAAACAGGTTAGAGTGAAACCTGTCTGCATATTTCTAATACCACCTGAAGTTTTGGGGGACAATATTTGTAGTGAGCCAGGAGAGAGGAGATTAAGGGGCAAAGGATACTTTTGCAAACAAGTAACATTCGCCCAGCTATTTAAATCCCTAGCTCACTTGCTTGCAGCTGCCATGAATATAGGGTGTAAGACTTAGCTGACTTGGCAGGCCTTTATGTTTAAAAATACCTTTTCTTTATTTCAAGAGATTAGAGAATTAAGTAAAAAATTACTACAGGGATTTATTGAAATTTGTGCTTTTATTTTCTGTTATTTATCTTGTTCAGCAGGGGCTCTAGCTAATCTTGCCAATGCTTGGTAGATTGGCTGGAGATTCTGTTTATGAGGAGAATGTTAACAAACCAAACCATGCCCACCTACTAAATTGAGTTAAACAAACAGTATCCGGCTATCTGTTCCTTAGAAAGAATGTTGATTACATGGTTAAATAAAAGAGAAGCATGTGAGAAATGTTATCTTTGCAATCCCATGTGCTACTTCTCACATTTCTTGGGATTATTTCTTGGTATACATTTACAGACATGCAAATTACAGTGAATTGCCTTGTAATAAGTATGTCTTCCTGGAGCTCAACAGTTAGTAGTTATCTAAAGCCGCTCTTGGAGGTGCATAAAACTGATTTGGACTGGGATGAAAATGGCCTGGCCTTTTCCAGCACTCCCTGCAATGCAGCCTGGCAGTGCGCTCTTTTCCTATGTGCACCACTCAAAGAGGAATTTCTATAGACAGGAATAGTTCTTGAATTATTAGACTCACCCCACAAATAAGCCCTGTTATTGTTACATGCTGTCAAGTCACTTCTGACTGATAGAAACCCTATGAATGAGAGATCTCCAAAATGGCCTGTCCTCAGCAGCCCTGTTCTGCTCTTGTAAACTCAAGCCTGTGGCTTCCTTTAGGGGGTCGATCCAGAGAACCTTGCCTTCTCATGATGTCCCCAACGTAAGACAGCCTCAGTTTCAATGTTTGCCTCCAGTGATAGATCAGAATTGATTTGATCTAGGACCCACTTGTTTGTCTTTCTGGCAGACCAGGGTATCTGTAAAACTCTCCTCCTGCACCATAATTTTAAACAAATCAGTTTTCTTCCTGACAGCTTTCTTGACTGCCCGGCGTTCACAACCATACATGGTGATCAGAAATAAAAGAGTATGGATGATCTTGACTTTGGTCTCCAGTGACACATCCTTCCTTACACTTGGTGATATTTTCCAACTTCATTCTATCTCTCCATATTTTGTCCTAAAAGTGGCTTCTTGTCCACAATATGGGTTACATATTACGGCAATCAAGTGCTGAGGCACACCCATTTCTTTCAGAACAATCTATCTTCTTTGGAAATTAATTGATGTGCTTCAGTAGCCAGTGAATATTTGCCATACAGTCTTGGGTACCAAGAAGATAGGTGGTGTGGTGTTCATCCTTGTGCCCCTTGCTTGACCGTCAAGGCTCAGAGCACTCGAAGGCAAACAATCCCCTCTTCGACACTGCTGCCACCAGGTGATCACTAAATCACCATTACTTCTGGAAGAAGAAGATGCAGGTCCACACTTCAAAGTCCTTTAAATATAACTTTTGTTTATTGATTACAGAAATTGATAGTGATTCATGAATATCTTCTATAGGTAAATTTATTATTAACAACAATCTTCTATTTGAAAATACACTACTAACTCTAATCACTCATCAGATTTCCCCAAACTCCACACTCTATCTCCTTCTCCACTCTCTCACTCTACTCATACTCTGACTAACTGACTCTTACTCTCAGGCTCCTCCTCTTATCACATCTCTCTCGGATCTGCCTCTCAGCAACATGAATATGCATGAACAATTAACATCATAAAACATGAACCATTGACATCATAAAGGGGAACACTACAGGTGGTTTGAGAGAGGGGTCAGGGGGGTCATACATATGCATACAGAAAATCCCTCACTCAACAGGGGTGGAGGCCTTAGATACAATCTGTCTCCTATTTATCATGCTGCCCTTTCATCCATCCCAGAAAGATTAGGGCCACACCCACCAGAAAGACCATTGTTAATGACTGTTAACAACCCATGGAGAAGGACTCCAGTAGTGGGATTATCTCTCACCCCCAGTCCTTTGTCCTTCTAACAAGCCTATTCAGACCAGGGGGAAGTGAAACCAATGTGAAGGATATATCAGGGATCTGCTACCAACTCTCCTCAGACTGAAGAAGCTACTTGGATGGAGTATTAAAACGTTTCAATCCAACATTCCAGTTGTCATGATTCAGCTTCCAGATAACCTCGCCTGGATGACTGAGAATCTTCACAGATATATGATTCTTTTAGTATCCTTTTTTAAACTTTTCTCTAATGTTGGACAGTAACAGTTCATGATCAGTACCACAGTTTACTCTGGGTTTTGTTTTTGTAGAGAGAATACAAATTCTAGATCTTCTGCTTCCAATTCCACAGTCCATATCACATGATGTGCATGTGTCGTTTTCTGTTGAGTTGCATTAAGCATGTATTTGCAATAAACAGATTGTTGGCTTCACAAGACTCTATGAGTCATTCTCTTGCTTCATTTCTGTCCTCTAGACCAACTATTCCAACATTTGGTTCTGTTTTGTTTCCTACTTTTGCATTCTAGTCACCTATGATTGTAAAATGTCTTGTTTTAGGTGTATGATCAATTTCCTCCTCAATGCTTGCACAAAAGCTTTCTATTTCATCTTCTGCAGCATCTCTAGTTGGCACATCAACCTGAATGATGGTTATGTTGATAGGTTTTCCATGAATCTGATGTATGTTATTGGGTCAGTTTTTGTATTATAGCCTCTAACTGCTTGTGCAACATCTTTAATAAATATAAGAGCCACTCTATTCCTTCTGTGTTTTTCATTTCCAGAGTAGAATATTTTGTAGTTGTCCGACTGTCCTGTTCAAATCCACTTTAGTTTACTGGCACCGAACACTGCAGTGTTTATGTGTTCTACTTCTTGCTTCATAGTCTCCAGTTTACCTTGATTCATACTTCTCATTTTCTATGTATGTGCTGTGCAGAATTGGACTGCCCTTTAACTTCTCTGCATGCTGGCCACTAGACATCTTTTCAGGTTTAATTTAGTTGCGTCATTAGGAATAATGGTATTTATCCTTTGCTCTGCCCCAGTAACTGATTGACCTGGGAGTCTCATCTCTCTGCACAATCCCTTGTTTCATTTTGGACTGTCTCATCAGGGGGCATCCACGGTAAAGAAAGTTCAGTAATGGTTTACCATTGCACCTTCTGTGCAGTACTTGCAAATGTTAGCTTGAGTGTTACCACCATTACCTCCTCTGCCAGTGTCTCCTTCAGCTACTGCTGCTACCCAGTAGCTGCCACCCCCACTTCCATTGGAATCATCCATTGTCTTCTGCTGATGTGGCTGTTGCTCTTGAAAAAGGTGGACACATCTTAGTGCAGTCTCTCAGTTGTGACCATTTTGTCTTGGGTGACTCTTCTGGGAGTTTAGGCTTGTAAAGGAGTCTAGCCTCCTGATAGCATTGCTCTCAGCTTCACATACACACAAACCCCTTCAACATGTTAAGGGGTGCATCCAAGAAAGGGAATAAACTTATGCAACCTAAAGTGCAGTTTAATGGGTGCTATCACTAGGGCCAAGTGTGTGACTTATTAGCAAGGAAGAGAACAAAGCACACACAGATTAATGGCAACTAAGGAGACCTGTAACCAACACCCAACTGTGCATGGATTATAAATTTTTACAGCTTCCAATATGCCAGGAAACGCTGCAGCTGGGTTTATTTATGAATAGGCAAATGCATAGTTACACCTTCAGTGGGCAAAGTGTGATTTCCAGATGCTGCTTGACTGCAACTGTTAGCATTCCTCATTACTGACTATGATGACTAGGTTTCACGTGCGTAGTAGCCCCCAAACATCCAGACAGACATGCTTTGCTCACCTCACTGACAAGGAGCTATTTACTAAGCATAGTGAAACTCTGAGGTGAAATTCAAGGGAAGGCAATTTTGGAAGAATCATAACTAAGTTTTTTTTTATTTCAAATATAAAATTTGTTAATGAACATACAGCAAGACGTCTTTAAACAAAATATCTTATTTTTCCCCCCACATACAATCAGCGTGCTCAGCCTTATAAGCCTACTTGAACAAGTTCAAATGATAGTAATACTGAACATAGGTGAAATCTACTGTAGATTACAGATGGGTAACTAAAGATCCTCAACAGCCATGCAGAGAGACTCCTACACCCTCCCCCTGCCCGGAGTGGCCAGCGGAGCGGGAAAATGAGCAGTGCTCTGGATGCAACTGGAAGGATGAATGGGACCGGCACCGCAGCAAGACTCGTGAGTGGACAGTATGGCCCCGGGGGCTGGACCCTCATTAAATCCAGCTGTGTGGGGATACTCACATTCGTATACAAATACGAATACCCCCATCCCTAGTCTGTATCCATCAAGTACTAGTAATCCACTCACTGGAGGCAGAACACTCATTCTTTCATTTTTCAGACTTCATTTTTTTGATGTTTTCTTTTGGGATGCTATAAAGAAGGCTTCTTACCTCTTCATATCGGTCAAAAACAGCTCCCTCTTGTAGGAAAGATGGGACAGCCTTTTGCCAGTTAAATTCATATGGTTTCGCCATTATATAAAGCAAGCCTGTAACAAAAACAAATAAGTGAAATCAAACCTTGATTCTCAGTATATGTGGCAGCAAAGACCAGTGAGACTAACTTGTTTTCTAATTACAAAATTAAAAAGCAAACAGTTTATTACCCATTATGGTTAATCCCTGATAAGAATCAGTGCACATATTTGTGAGTCAAATGTATTTATTTATTATTTTTGTATTTCATTTTTTTAAATCCCGCCTTTCTCCTAACACAAGGACCCAAGGCGGGTTACAGCATTTAAAGACAATATTTAAGAATAGAACGATGAATATATAAAGGCAGCATACCTCATTAAAAAGGCAGTATTTAAAGCTAAAAACACTGAGTATAGAAATATTAAAAAGCAACAAACAAAATACTCCTCTTAGAAATTGGAAACTAAAAACACAGTCAAAGCAGTAACATGTAACAATCTGTATAAAAAGACTAGCCTCTAGCAACAGAGAACGCCCTCTCTTGTTTCCCCATCAAACACATGTGAAGGTGGTGGGACAGAGAGAAAAGTCTCTCCTGATGATCTTAGTACCTGAACAGGTTTGTAATGGGAAATACAGTCTTTGAGGTAGCTTGAGCCAGTTTAGGGCTTTATAGGTTAAAATCAGCACTTTGAATTGGACCTGGAAATTGGATTGGCTGTAATTGGGGGTAGGGGTGGGGGTGGTTATATAATCCTTTTAACCTGCCCCCAGTCAGCAGTCTGGCTGCTGCATTTCAGAACCACTGAAATTTCCCAAAACTTTCCATAGGCAGGCCCACATAGAGTGCATTAACGTGATCCAGCCAGGAAGTAATTAAGGCATGTGTCACTGTGGACAGATCAGATATCTCAAGGAACAGTCGCAGTTGGCGCACTAGTTTTAAATTTGCAAATGCATCAGCCAGAATGTTAGATTGGTTAGGCTACTAAAACATATCTCCTTGAAGGAAAATCTGGCTAGCATTTTCATGGTTTGACAATTCAAGAATTGTAATGAAAATACAAACTGTTCACAATAAAAGCTAGTATCTCATGACATATTTATACATAAATGTTATTTATTTATTTCTTAAACAAACAAAACAAACAAAACAAAACAAACAAACAAACAAACAAATAAATAAATGTGTCATTCTATGAAGTCCCTTTATATTGAGTCCAGGCATCCGGGTAACTCACAGATGCCTTACCTGACTGGAAGATGCTCTTATGCAGAAGTCTCTCCTTGACCTGTTGCCTAAGACAAGTGAAAGGAAATGAACTTATTCCACAAGTTCTCTCATCTTCCTTTCAAGAGAAATAAACACCAGAGTTAAGGATCTGTACTCTACCAGGTTAAAAAGGGGGCAGTGCCCATTCAGCTGGGGGAAGAGGTTTAATCCATCACAGTCTGGATTAGAATGGGAGGTACTCTGTCCTTAGACTGATTGACAGATTGATGCATAGAGCTTACAGACCACCTGACTTAGTCAGAACACTATTCGGGGTTGTTCACATCATTTGACAAAACATACAACACCTAAAACAATAATTAAAAAAACATAATGCATGGCACCACAAATTAAAACAGAAAAGGGGACTAAGACTGACAGCTGATAAATCAAATCAAGTTACATAAAATGCTAATATAGTAGTATAATAAAAATAATCAATAGTGACAATAGCATACAGGTCTCAGAAATTAGACTAAGATGTTTCCAAAAGCCTCCTCAAACAGTTCTGTCTTTAATAATCTTCAAAGGATCTTTGCGGGGGAAGTTAAAGATCAAATCACTTTTCTTTTTAAATGATTAAGGAAAAAAATTAACTAGAGACTCAGTCCAAGACTATAATTAGTGGAAAGTTCAATTGCAATCAATTCATATTATTTACTTCTGAATATGCACATGTAGGACTTCGCTGTGCATCAGACAAAACTTAACCACAACATAACCATGCTAAATGCAGGAGACTCCACAACATTCTGGCTGAGCAGATGCTTTCCACATATAGGCCAAAATCTTACTACTTACCACAATAAATCACACTGGAGTAGTCCCATTGACCCAGTGGAGATTTAGTGATCTGATTTTCTATGCTAAAGTAAGTTGCACTTAGACTAGGGTCGTTTAAGTCAATGGAACTTATGGGGGAGTTCATTCATCAAGCTCTCACAGAGTTGACGGGCCAACTCTAGTGAGATATACTACGCTAAGCAAAAGGATTTTGTTCATAATATCAGAGATGAAATCCACTCTGATAGGATCCTAGGCAGAAGGGTGGTAGAAAGCACGAGCCTGGTGCAGGGTGACAATACTGGTCCAGATAGGCCAAGTGGGCTGACTCAGTTTAATTAAAGTCAGGTAACTTCAACCCATAAATTTTTTTCTTTGCTTTTTAAAAAAATTCATTTTTCATACTTTGATTTCTTTCATGAATGGAAATGCATTGAGACTTGCGTTTCTATGAATGGAAAAGTTCATTCTCTAAATAGGCAGGTTCAAGAGTTAGTAGATCTACCTTCCTGGGAGAAGCGGGGGGGGGCAATTTTCACCATTCCCCCCTTCATCTTTACAGCTGCTTACATCTCCCAACCCTCCAGAGCAGGATTTTGCTGAGTCGCAGGGGGGGAAATGGGTGAACATCACAAGAAGCATAGATATAGCCTGTTGCCTTTAGAGAAAATTGTTTAAAATTCATCAAGCTGTATTATATGAATGATCTATTCATTGTATGCTATGGAATTAGAGAGTTAGAATGTAAGTGATGCTCATTGTGATCGTTGGCACAAAATGTTCCAGCCTGCAATAAGTTTTACAGATATTTTGTAATATAAATTAAAAGACCCTGCAAACAACCTTGTGTTTATTCCTAGTCTTCTTTCTCCTTAAACAGAGGGAAATCTAAATTAAAGCACGATCAGAAGCCAGAAAAGATGGATAGCACAAGAAGCCAGAAAGGACATAAATAATGTAATAAACTTGTGATTTTACCATACAGACACCTAAAGAGACAGAGAAGGAGAAGGAGAAGAAGGAGAAGGAGAAACATATTTTGTGGTGCTCTAATATTTTGATGACAGTACTTAGTAACAGAATTTTCACCTGGATAATCTAAAATAGGCCCAACATTTCACAAAATCTTCCAGTTCAGCCAATCAAAAAACTGTGTGCTAGCAATCGGCATGCAGCATTAGCAAAGGAGTTCTGAGGAAACTGCTGGACAGATCCTTTCTAAAACTTTTTCCATATAATTTAAACACAATGTTTCTGTTTTAAAAGAAGAATCGAGACCAGCATTTTAATTGAAAGGGGATTTTCTGAGAAGAGAGAGATTAATAAAGACAAGCACATCAATTTAAGCAAAAAGCTCATGACCTTCAGAAAATTATGATTTAGATTAGAATTTGTGTTCCTAGGAGACAAGCAGCCAATATAAACACATGACTTTGCCTCCTAATGAAAAATATTTCAGACCTTTAAAGAAGGGCAAAGGAAATTATTGACATTTGAGAGTTCTCCCTCTTTTTAAGTTTAATGTCAAGCAATTAATTTTGGTACAGATACATGAACAAATATGTACAATTAAAAGACAGATAGATAACTTTTCGTCTTTTCCCTCAATCATCTTCTCCTGTCAAAATTCCTCATGGACAATCTCTTCTCTGCCTGAGGCATTATTTAAATCCAGATCCTCTATTATTATATTAAAAAAAACCATCAAGATCAGATTTTTGTAATACTTTTAAACTCATACTGGTAAGAATCCCTAGTATGGTTAAATATTAAAGGAATAAAATATTTAATAAAGTTGGACAATAACACCATGTTCTAACAATGCAGATACTATTTGTTTTTTCTGAAGAAATTAATATACACATGCCCTTGAATTTGTTCCCATTGCATACTCCTAAGACAGCCAGATAAAGCAAAACCTTAGAATATTAAATATATAAAAACGTACACTGAGGCATTTGTGAATCCTTTGCAAAGAGGACTCATTCAGAAAACACATCCCAAAAGCACAGTTTCAAACCACTGTCCGAGAATATTTTATTTGCTAGATTTGTTACAGTTTGATTTTTAACCCCTGTATTATTTTTACACTGGAGAGGACAGTTTAGTCACAGACAATAATGCCAGGGTGGCCCAAGAGATTATGTTGCCTGAGATGGAGCAGGAAACGATGCCCCCCCAAGACAAGACACAAGATCTTGGTCAAATTGACTGGGGGGGATTCACAAAGATGCCACAGGCCATGCTGTATGAGGGATTCTGGGAGCTGTGGGGGGGGGGAAGGAACTTCCCCAAGACCTGCCCTCTGCATCCCTCACCCCAGCCAGGGGTGTTGGGTGATGGGAAAGGCAGTCCAAAAGTATCTGGAGGGCCACAGTTGCCCACCTCTTAGTTAGCAGACAGAGAGCTCCTATAAGGGCCACAAGGAAGAACCATGGATAGGACACTAGATCCACGAACCTTTCTATTTATATAGGATGCTGGAGAACACATTTAATTTGACTGAAAGATTGATTTCATGCATATCCATGAACTGGTGGACTATAGACTTTGTACTAGAAAACCATGTACTCATGGTATTTATAGATGCCAGAGTTTGATTACTCTTGGTCGCTTATAAAATTCACTGGGTAACATGACAACACTGACCAGTCAAGTCAGCTCTCAGCTAAATCAACTTCAGCTATAATGTAGGGAAGCCATGCACAACACGTGGAGGGTTTCGGAAGAAGGATGGGACATGGCAGCACCAATGAATAAATCCATAATGAAACTATGATTTTTCTCTCTCTGAAGAAGTTCAGAACTATACTGAGGGATTTTTTTTTCCCAGAAGAAAAAGTTAGTTTGGGCCACTTGTTCCCTCAAGATGCATAATAAAACCAATCCGTATGCCTTGTCCCACACTGTGAACAACTTAATTAAAAAAAATCATGCCACAAATGTTTGTCAGGGAAGTCCACCACCTGTTTGTGAAGAAATGTTATGCCTTTGGCTACCACACCCCTTCCTCTT